GAAGGGCCTGGAGCCGGACAGAGACCCAGGGGAGCTCCGGAACAGCCACCCAACTAAGCACCTGCAGCAGAAGGCCAGGGAGGGCGGCTCTACTCGTCCTTCTCTACTTAGAGCACCAAGGGTGGGAGGGCTGGCCGCGGTCCATGGGCGAGAGACAAGCCTGCAGAGACAAGAAGCGAGTCATGGGCTCTCTGCTGACAGGTGACAGGGGTGTGGGATGGGGACAAGCCACCCAACATACGCAGCCAGAGCCCATGGGAGGGACAGCATGAGTCAGGTCATGACTGGAGGAAGTGGCCACTTTCACCAAAGCCAAGACATTGCTGATGGAACCACACACCATCTCACTAGGAAGAGATAGATGAGTGTGCAACGGATCCTTCGATGGTGTGGCTAATCACAATTTCAGGGAAGTTAAAGCAGGAAAACTGCATGCCTTAAAACAAAGGACTGTGACATACATTTTCCCCACTTCAACAGAATTGCTTGTGAGCTCCTAGTTCAAGTGGGTGTTTGAAGCAGAAAGTTTGTAGACAGAATTATAAAATATGTTGGTAAAAATGTAAAGGTACCTTTTAACCTCATGCTAGGAAAAGGCTGGCTTACTCCTGGTGAGAATGCAGCGAGGTGGGGCTCATGCCAGCACCCTGACCAGCGTCTCCACACAGTGTCCTTGGCCCGCAGGACCGAGGGCTGGTTTGCTGTGACAGCAGCCGTCAGCCTTGGGTGCAGGCATCAGGGCACCTTTAGGCCACCTTTGTGTCTCTTCACTGCCTTCCACTTGGTGAGCACCTCACCATCCTTTGCCTGGCTGTCCCTCTCTCTTTCCCCAGCCACCAGTCCCCACACCAGGCAGCTCACCTGGCACATGTAGATGGTATCTACAGAGCAGAGTCACAGCCACAGCCTGTATCTCCCTTGGTACAGGGCAACCTCTAGGAATCCTCTGATTTGCTGCTATTCTATAGATTAAGTGGCTTCCATGTCTTCTGCTGACCCTAGTGGCTCCAAAGATGACATCCAGGCAGCTAGTCTGAAAGATTTGACCATGGCGTGCAGGGTAGAGCTAGCTAGCTAGCTTGCTTGCTTCCTTCCTTCCATCTTTCCTTGTTCCCTCCTTTCCTTTCTCTCTCCCTTCTCTCCCTCTCTCTCTCCTTCCCTCTGTCCCTTCTTCCCTGCTTCCCTCTGTCCCTTCTTCCCTCCTTCCCCTCCTTCCTTCCTTCTCTGCTTTCCAAGTCAGGACTCAAACAAAGAGAAGATGAAAATGATACAGCCTTGAAAACCCTTGTTGGGAAGTTGTCCTCTCCTCCCCATGGAGCCTTTTCCTTGTGGGGCTGATTATGAAACACAACTCACCGACACACAAAGATGATGTTGAACACAGCTTTGGAATCCACACACCATACGATTCATCCTTTAGAATCTGGACAATGGTTTTTAAGACCTTCACAGAGGTGTGTGTCCCACACCATTATCTAACATAGGGACGTTTCATCACCCCACAAGGAAACCCCCTGGTAACTGCTCCTCTTTTCCTCCCACACCCAGGCAACCATTAACCTAGATTCTGTCACAGTGGGTTTTCCTGCTCTAGGTACTGAGATAAACAGAACCACACCACGTGTGGCCTTCTGTGCCTGGCTATTGTCTCAGGCAGATTTCTAAGCAACCACCCCCATTGCAGTACGTGTCCACACTGCCCCCTCTTGGCAGCTGACCCTCACTCCATTGTGGGAACCATCACCTGGTGACTGCCATCACCTGGTGACCAATCACCAGGTAGTGTAGATGGCCACTGTTTCCATATGTCAACTCCTGCTCAGAAGGCTGCTGTGGACATTCACATGAAGCTTTCTATGTGCTGCCAGCAGGTCCCTGCTGCCTCTCTTTGGTGGCCCAAGACACATGGAAAGACCTGGTGACCAGAGTTAACAGGACATGGAGATTGGGGTTTAACAGTGTCACCTGTCTTATAAAATCTGGTCACCAGATCTTTTTTTATTTTATTTTATTTTTTTATTT